GCTTTAGCTCTTGCAAGTGGCAACGCAGGTCCACAGGGGAAGATGCTTGAGCCTGGTGGCCTTGATAGGAGAATGAGAGCTTAAACTAAAATCTCCAGCGATATTTGATACCGTTGGATTGTAGAATTTGTATTCAAATTCAAAGTGCAACATTTTGCTATTGTAATTGGAGATAGGTCTGCGAATATCTGGAGGGAGTTGCCCTGGAAGTCAAGCACCTGGTGATCCTGGGCCGCCTGTAAGAGCTGTTCTTTAGTGTGGTAATAATGATAATAATGTCCCTGGGAGGGCCCTCTATTGGTTTAGGGGCTAAGGCTCTACGAATGCGATTGAATTCTAAGCGTTCCCAGGGAACCTCAGGAGCAAATTCTTGGAAAAGGGATGTAACAGTACCTTGTAGGTCAATAATCACTTCGGGAACACCACAGATGTGGAGATTATCCCCGCGGGCCCTGTTTTTTGCATCTTCCAGCTTATCCTTCAGGGTGTCTAATTCAGCGTGTACTGTAAATCTTCCACCTCCTGTTCATGTCCTTCCAGCATAGTAGTCGCTAAGTCCATGCGTTGTTCTAATTGATGGGCGATATGTCCCGGCTCTTTAAGGCCTCTTACCAAATCAGAGGAAAGTTGTAATCTCTTCCTGCACTATAGAGCGGAACTTGTGAAGCAGGGCCTCAGGGTATTGCTCAGGAGGACTGGTCAGTACAGAGGGAAACTGTTACAAGCTATCCTCCCCGGAGTCAGGATCAGCAGCCGAAAGCCTCATGGTGTCATCTGGCTCCGGGGGATTGGACACCATCCTGCCTGTTCTCAGGAGCGGGGAGGCCTTCTTATGTGCCCGGTGTTTGGGCTTATGTTTTGGGGTGCGATGCATCCCCTGATGTTGCCCAGGTGTCCGAGGAGTATTTCCCGCAGTGGGGGCTTTGGTGGAGGAGTACAAGAGCTCGGTGTGCCGAGGGCTAGGTTCCGGCGGCACGGAGCTAGAGAGTTAGGCAGCCATACTTCCCGGATGTGTGCTTGAGCCCCTCATAAGCAGGGGCGGACTGACCATTTGGAAACTCGGGCACTGCCCGTGGGCCTGGGGTCAGCAGGGGACCCCATGAGATTCCCCTGGTACCTTTTTCATAGGCTTTTTTGAGTTTGGGCAAGGACACGGGCCCCATGATCCCCTATTGCCCGGGGGCCAAATGAGTTGTTCAGTTGCTCAGCCCCTGCTCATAAGCACAGCATTTCTATGGGTAATCTATGGGGTGTCCAGCAGGTGGAATTCTCTCCAGTCTCTCCAATGGATATGAATAAGAGAAAAACAGAACACAAAGAGAGAGAGCACCACTCTTAGTGCAGAATTTACTGAAAGCTGGTATAGTGAATAAATAAACAGTATTGCACTTACATATAGTTGATAGAAAAACAGCATTTATGCAAGGCTCCAGCAGGTTGCATACTCCTTTGGTCACAAAAGGTGGCAGCACACAGGATGGATGGTATAATAGTAAGCTCCTCTAGTGTATGGTTTCAGAGGAAGCAGTGCTGGGTACCAAGGAAGAGCTGGCTGTGGATGTACAGATGGTGGCTACTGTGGACCGCAAGGATACGAGTTACAGCCGGCAGAGCGGCCATGATGAAGTCACATGTAGGTGGGTGTGGCAAAGCGTTTCGGGCAAAGTACCCTTTGTTAAGCCTGCCCAGTGCTCAGAAACATTATAACATATATGCGGAGCATAAACACTAATGAACATGTGGGACTACAAGGCACAGCCATGCCAATCATACTGGACTCTCAAAATAAATATCTAGCCACATATGGAGGAGAATTATGAATTAAAAGGAATATACACTGCTCAAACAAATTAAAGGAACGCTTTGAAAATACATCAGATCTCAATGGGGAAAATTATCATGCTGAGTATTTATACTGATATGTACTGGGTAATGAGTTAGGAATGCAAGGATTCCCCATCGTTTGATGGAAATAAAAATGATCAATCTACAGAGGACTGGATTCAAAGACACCCCAAAAATCATAGTGAAAAAATACTGCAGCAGGCTAGTCCATTTTGCTGAAATTTCATTGCAGCAACTCAAAATGGTACTCAGTAGTTTGTAATGCCCCCACGTGCTTGTATGCATTCCTGACAATGTCAATTCAGGCTCCTAATGAGACAAAGGGTGGTGTCCTGGAGTATTTCCTCCCAGATCTGGACCAGGGCATCACAGATCTGGACAGTCTGAGGTGCAACTTGGCGGTATCAGATGGACCGAAACATGATATCCCAGAGGTGTTCTATTGGATTTAGGTCAGGTGAGCGTGCGTGCCATTCAATGGCATCAATTCCTTCATCTTTCAGGAACTGCCTGCATACTCTCGCCACATGAGGCCGGGCATTGTCGTGCACCAGGAGGAACCCAGGACCCACTGCACCAGCGTGGGTCTGACAATGGGTCCAAGGGTTTCATCCCAATACCTATGGGCAGTCAGGATGCCATTGTCTAACCTGTAGAGGTCTGTGCGTCCCTCAATGGATATGCCTCCCCAGACCATCACTGACCCACCACCAAAATGGTCATGCTGAACAATGTTACAGGCAGCATAACGTTCTCCACAGCTTCTCCAGACCCTTTCACATCTGTCACATGTGCTCAGGGTGAACCAGCTCTCATCTGTGAAAAGCACAGGGTGCCAGTGGCGGACCTGCCAATTCTGGTGTTCAATGGAAAATGACAATAGAGCTCTGTGGTGCCAGGCAGTGAGCACAGGGCCCACTAGAGTACGTTAAGCCCTCAGGCCACCTTCATGAAGTCTGTTTCTGATTGTTTGGTCAGAGACATTCACACTAGTGGCCTGCTGGAGGTCATTTTGTAGGGCTCTGGCAGTGATTATCCTGTTCCTCCTTGCACAAAGGAGCAGATATTGGTCCTGCTGATGGGTTAAGGACTTTCTACAGCCCTGTCCAGCTCTCCTAGAGTAACTACCTGTCTCCTGGAATCTCCTCCATGCTCTTGAGACTGTGCTGGGAGACACAGCAAACCTTCTGGCAAAGGCAGGTATTGATGTGCCATCCTGGAGGAGTTGGACTGCCTGTACAAACTCTGTAGGGTCCAGGTTTCACCTCATAATACCAGTAGTGATACTGGCCCTAGCCAAATGCAAAACTAGTAAAAAACAGTCAGAAAAGATGAGCAGGGAAGAAAATGTCAGTGGCCTCCACCTGTAAAACCAAACAATTTAATTTTCACAAACGAATGAAAGCAGAACGAAAATTTGAGGCAGGGACAGTTTACTTATAAAGATATTATATAACGTGTAGTTTGTTCAAAATTTAAAACGATAAATAAATACATGTTGTTAGATTTTTTTTTTATTACCGGTGTATGTATAGTGTTTGGAAATTCTAGAGAAATGCTTAAATAATGCATTTCAATTTAAAGTGTTACTAAATAGTAAAATCAGTCTGTATATGCAGTAAAGCATGCTTGTTATACTCACTGTGGAACCTAAGGGGTTAATCCTCCGCATTGTGTAAAAAGGATGTTCGATCATGTCTTCTCTGATCCTCCCCTTCTTCCAGTGTCTCCTAAATGTCTCCTGATAGAACAGAGGTTCGGGGGAGCTGCACATGCTCAGTTTGGTGTGTATTGCTAGAGAGTTTTTTTTTCTTGGGAGAGTGCATGTGATCAGCACAGGGCCAATCAGCAATGTCCAAACAAAGGTCAGGGGTCCTGCATCCTCCTACAGGAGACTGAAAACTCCTCCTACAAGCTGTAACCAGTGTTCTGCTAGACACTGATAGAACCAGTGCTCTGCTAGTTACAAAACTGCTATATACTACTGATGAGAAAAGGTATTTAGCAGTTTATATTTACTAAAATAATTGCATTTTCATGTTATGTGTACTGTGGGAGACCAGATATAGTGAATGCAGGGTCCTGGGTTTAGTGGAGACTAAGAATGTTCACACAATTAATTGTGCAGATTTTCACTTCAAGTATCATTATGAAAAGCAAATTTGCAAATTCCTGACCAGGCCATTTTTTTACGATGCGGTGCTGTGGTACTTTAACTGACAATTGAGCGGTCATGCAACGCTGCACTCAAATGAAATGCATGTCCTTTTTTTCCCACAAATAGAGCTTTCTCTCAGTGGTATTTGATTGCCTCTGGGGTTTTTTTTTTTTGCACTATAAAAAAAAATCGCCAATTTTGAGAAAAAAAAAACACATTTTTGAACTTTTTGCTATTAAACATGTGCAGTAAAAAAAGTTTAAAAATTCTAATTTTGTCATAAATTCAGGCCAAAATGTATTCTTCTACATATCTTTGATAAAAAAAAAATCCAAATACATGTAAATTAATTGGTTTACGTTAAAGTTATAGCATCTACAAATGTATACATACACACTGGAATATTAAAAAAAATGTTTTATACTAGTAATGGCGGCGATCAGTGACTTGTAGCGGGACTGCAGCAGGCACTCTGACATTTGGGGGGGGGGGGACTGACTTTGTGTCACTAACATCCCCAGTGACACTAATACAGTGATCAGTGCTAATAAAAAGCACTGACACTGTACTAATGACACTGGACAGGAAGGGGTTAACATTTGGGGCGATCAAAGGGTTAACTGTGTGCTTTACTGTGTAAGTACATTGCTTTGCATGGCTCTGCTATGCAGAGCCATACAAAGCAGCATGCTGGAGCTGACCGGGGAGAGATCTGTATTGTTTACATATACACAGATACACAGTGATCGCCGGGTGCTGGCGGGGAATCACTGGCTGGGACCCCCGGTGATTGACAGCCAAGGTCGCCAATGGCGGTGCGGGTAGGGAGCACGTGCGCCCCCTACCTGCCGCCCTGTAGCAGTATTTCTGCTACAGGGCGGAGGAAAGCAGTTAAAGGAATCACAAATATTATGTGTCTGAAAACAGTTAACTTAGCAGACCATAATTACACATTTTCCGTCCTGTGTTATGTTGTATGATAAAGTAATTAAGATACCTTATTGTGGATGTATTTCAGAAGATTGAACTTCTCAGCATACATTCGGAAATATTCCATAATTCTGGAGTTATGCATGAAGTTGGGGAAATCGTCTGGTGCTGGAAAATCACTAAAGCACATCATCTCCTTAGAAGTGTTAATAACGACAGATTTATAGATACTGGCTCTGCCATCTTCAGGCTCATCCTATGGCAAGAACATGCAAGAGATAATTTTTGTAGGAACGAAAATGTTGGTGAAATGTCACACCATTAATAGTGTTTATTCCACATCCCATATATAAATACCAAAGAAAATAGAAAGATACCCCCCTGGGACTTTATGTGGCAAAAAAAGATATAAAACAATGAATGTTTATTACAAAATGCGTTTCGATAAAAAGGAATCAACAGATTCTATGAAGTTGAACTACAGTACAATTATTCAAAATTCACATTACAGAATATAGAATGTGCATGAAACCTGACCGTCTGTTATATCAATTGACAAGAGGGCTAAAAACCCAAAAGACCTGAACAATGATATCATCCAGAAAAATTCAACACGTTTCAGAACTCATGTTTCCTTCTTCAGGGAATAAATATATCAGGTTTATAACATAACAAAGTATTAAATGAATGTAAACAACATAATACACAATATCATCTAAAAAGCATGTGCAAAATAGCTGATTGCTCATACATTTACAAAATGTACCATATTTGATATTGGTTAACAGATGTTCATACAGAGTTGGATGATGATGCCTTTTGAGTGACGCACCCGAGGGAGATACCCCAGTGAACCATCCACCAGCGAAGACCACACTTAACACAGCCAGTGGGAGGGGATCTCTAGAGCAGTGTTTCTCTACATTTTTTCAGTCGGGGCGTCCTTGAAGTATTTTCAGTCACGAGGCATCCCTGTCCAGGGCTTGGTTCACGTTACTGTGTGTCGCTGAATGCACGCAAAATCACTCTCATTCCTGACATGCAGACAAATGCTCTGCTCTGTAGGGGTACCCCCATACATTGGCAAATGTGGAGTGTTTTTGGTGTGGTGCTATATAAAAATAAGGTCAGGGACAACTTTCCCTGCATTTCTGCAGGTAAAGCAGCCCATTGAAATGAATTGGCTGCCCTACACAGAGCCACACAGATGTGAACCAAGGGCCTGTTCACCTGTGAGGTTGGAGGGTGGTAAAACCACGCAATTGAGCTGCTTTTACCACCCCCTACTGCTCCCCATTTAGCTGCAGAAACAGCGGCTGGGGGTATACACATGCTGTTGCAACAGCTGGAAGTATACTTCCAGGTGAATGGGATTGCACTACAACCACCCCACTGTGTGCGCATTGTACGTGGTTGTGGTGTGGTGATGCTGCTTTTCACAGGGTTAAACCAGGTGGTGAGGAGGCAACATATTGCCCCTTTACCACCTGTCAAATGCCTCTGAAAAGTGATCTGAGCATGGATTGCTTTTCAGAGGAGCATCAGTCCTTGCTGCTATTATGATCAAGTCCTAAAAAAGCAGTTCTGAAAGATTACATGTAACATACATACACACACATATATAAAAACACACACATACAAAGATGTACACACACATACGTACATGCACACATACAGACACATGCACACACACACGTACACATATACACATACACACATGTATACATACACACGTACATAGACACATATACACATGTACACATACAAACACGTACAAATACACACACACAGACACATATACACATGTACACATACACACACGTACAAATACACACACACACACACACACACACACACACACACAGACACATATACACACACACGTACACACACACACACACGTACACATACACACACACAGACCCATACACACACACACGGACACATATACACACACATGTACACACGTACACGGACACATACAGTTGCAAGAAAAAAGTACGTGAACCCCTTGGGATTACGTGGAGTTTTACATGAATTGGGCCAAAATTACTCCAGATCGTTGTGAAGGTCTGATCTGCAACTACAGGAAACGTTTGGTTGAGGTTATTGCTGCCAAAGGAGGGTCAACCAGTTATTAAGTCCAAAGGTTCACATACTTTTTCCTCCCTGCACTGTGAATGTTTACATGTTATGTGCAATTAAACCATGGCAACATCTAATGTTTGCGTAGTATTATGTTCAGCAGACTGTGTTCTTCTATTGTTGTGACTTAGATGACGTTCAGAGCACATTTTATGCCCAATTCATGCAAAACTCCACGTAATCCCAAGGGGTTCACATACTTTTTCTTGTAACTGTATACACATGTACACATACACACACGTAAAAATACACACACACAGATCCATATACACACACATGTACACAGACACATACACACACGTACACATACACACACGTACACATACGTACACATACACAGACACATATACACACGTACAAATACACACATGTACACATACACACACACAGACCCATATACACACACATGTACACATACACACGTACACAGACACATATACACATGTACACATACACACACAGGCACATGTATACAGCCCTATAAAAAGTTGCAGCACCTTATAGCTTCCATCACACTGCCAGGTACTGCACTCTAGGGGGAAGCAGAGAGCACAGAAGACACTCCCCTTACCTTTGCTTTCACTTTGCTCAGCGGTGTGACGACTCCCAGTGCCGGTGTACAGTGCGGCTGGAGATCGAGAGCTTGGGCTCAAGTAACAGCCATTCTCCCCACGACACCCCTGCAGACCTCTGGTGGCACCCCAGTTGAGAAAGGCTGCTCTAGGGTATAATACAGACCATAACTAGTACAAGAAAACTGCTATTTGTTGTTTATCTCAAGGAACTACTCTAATGTGTAGCCCAAGAAAAATGTTTGTATCATGAGGGCTCAAATATATAATAAAAAAAATAATAGTCTGATGTATCCAGCCCAAAAAGATTGTCAAAAGACACATATGTGAGCCTCTACAACGAAAAATAAACCCATATGGCTAAAATGAAAACATAGGAAGATATTATAGAATGCTCACCAATGGTATTGTACTCTCACATGGAGTCACCTCATGGTCATCTAAAAGAGAATGAAACTGCAAAACAGCTCATATAAACAGTAGTGAACTAACGCCCATGAGCCTGTAATTGATTGTCTCTAATTAGCACCAGGTGCCTGTCAGCCAGTTTGGAATTGAATGCTCCCCCATTCCTGCCACACACAGGCTGCAACATGGCCGCAAGTGGCGGTCCCCCGGCACAGAGAGTGCATGGCGCCTCTCCGCCCACCACCACAACAACGCCTCACACAAGCACAATGACGTCATGTGCATGCACGGCGCAGCATTGCGCACATCCAGGGCCGCTAGTGCACCAAACCAACCACCTCCTCCACAAGGGAAAAGGGAAGACACATCGCCTATCTGCCCACACAGGAACAACCAGAATACACTGGCCCCCAGTGAGAGGAGGGCGAACTGCACCACCCACAGCTGCGGCTGGACAACCCAAGGCCCCCCCCCCGAAACACTGACCTAGGGGGCCTAGGTACGCTGGGTGATGGGTGGTAGCTCCAACAGCACCCCCAGTCAGCACACCCCCCAGGCCATCACCAAAGGTACCAAAATTACACCATAAATAATCCATATCAATAACATGTAGAAAACATAATGTGAATATACATGAATGGCACAATAGAATGAAATAGGAGTTACATGAGTTCCATAACGTGTTGGATTTGTCTGGATGATATCATTGTTCACTTCTTTTGGGTTTTTAGCCCTCTTGTCAATTGATGTAACACAGACGGTCAGGTTTCATGCACATTATATATTCTGTAATGTGAATTTTGAATAATTGTACTGTAGTTCAACCTCATAGAATCTGTTGATTAATTTTTATCAAAATGCATTTTGTAATAAACATTCATTGTTTTATATCTTAGTATGTCTTATTTTTTTTTTGCCACATAAAGTCCCCAGGGGGTATCTCTCTATTTTCATAAATACAGTGTTTAAGGATCACAGTGAGAACAGATAAGGAGAGACCCATCAAAGACATTTGGATTATTAAACTAGTGTTTTACAACTGAGTGTGCTTTTTTGTAGCAGACATAGCGTGAATAGGCTTAGTGTCCAAAGGTGCAGTAAACCAGCTTATTAGGAAGAGGGATGGCAACCTGCTTGCCCATGGGAAGCAGGCAGGTGACCCTTTTAAAATCTCTCTCTATGCTAGATACCTCTCCTGTGCACTAGAGGTGATTAGGAGCAATCCTTCTCATTTCTGGTAGTAGTAGATGGAAACTTAAGAATTTTTATGTGTTTGCTCTTATGATGGCTTTTCTGTTATACTGAAAAAACTTCAAATTTTTTAAACTCCTTATACACTCACCTTGAATCTCCAGAGTCCTCCAATATCATCAGTTTTTTCAAAGCATGTGGGCTCCAGTCCCTCGTCAAGACAACACTTAATAGCTGTCAATCCACTGGCTCCTGCACCAATCACAGCAACTCTCTTCACCATTTTTCTGCACACAACAGAATTGCATTTATATAATAAACATATTTGGAAAAAACTATTGAATATAAGCAAAATCCTACTTGAAGAAAACGATTGTGTAAAATAATACACTCTTTGCTAGAGTATAGTATATTTTCAGCAAGTACATAGTTTTAGTTATGTTTAGAGATAATTAGAAAATGATACTTTAAAACAAATTGATCTATGTGAGGAGCATGTCAATCCTTGTGGTACTTCAAGTTATATAAAGAAGTAATCCATCCAGTATGGCTAGCTATCAATTCTTCCCCATCCGTTATCTGGTAAGAGGGTCTCTTTATTTTCCAAATGTTGAGATATATGAAAGCAATGATTCAACAATCATTTGCTGAACAGTGTCATCTCTGGCTAGTGATGAGCAACAATATTTCCTATTTATAGTTCTTCTTAAACTGGGCCATTTTGACTTAGGTGGAAGTTGCAGTTGGGCTCCCCATAATGCCTTGGAAGTCTAAGTTGCCACTGGGTCCTGCCTCTCTTTACAGGAACCAGTTAGCAAAGGTGAGTGTTTGAGCACATCCATCATAAAAAAGCATAAGATTCTCTGCAGGTGCAAGGACCTGTGAATCAGATTTATAAACTCTACACAGAATAATATCTGTTGACTTCCCTGGTATAAATCTGGTCTGATCTATGCTGACCAAGGAGGGAAGGAATTTCATTAATCTAGTGGCCAACACTTTAGTCAGGATTTTTAAATCATAATTTATGAGGAATATAGGCCCTTTATGAGGCACATTGTCTAGGACCCTTACCTTGTCTAGGCAGAAGCACAATGTGTGCTTGAACATCTCTAGAATATGCCCCTTTTTAACAAATGATACCACAAAGCTCCTAATTAATTCCCTGGTTATCTCACGCCTCAACTACTGCAACCTCCTCCTCATTGGCTTACCTTTACATAGACTATCCCTCCTCCAGTCCATCATGAATGCTGCTGCCAGGCTCATCCACCTTACCAACTGTTCAGTGTTTGCTACCCCTCTCTGCCAATCCCTCCACTGGCTTCTACTTGCTCAACAAATAAAATTCAAAATACTAACAACAACTTACAAAGCCATCCACAACTCCCCCCAGCTACATCACCAAGCTGGGCTCAAAATATCAACCAAACTGCTCTTTTCGATCCTCCCAAGACCTTCTGCTCTCTAGTTTCTGTGTCACCTCCTCCCATGCTCGCCTCCAGGACTTCTCCAGAGCTTCTCCCATCCTATGAAACTCCCTACCCCAATCTGTCCTGCTATCTCCTAATCTATCCACCTTTAGACGATTCCTGAAAACCTTCCTCTTTAAAGAGGCCTATCCTGTTTCTAACTAGTAAACTGCCTTTTATTTCCTCCATCAGCTCATCCTCCACAGCTATTACCTTTTGTATCACTCAACCTTTCCTGCTAGATTGTAACTCTAATGAGCAGGGCCCTCTGTTTCCTCTTGTACCATATTGTTTTGTAACTATAATGTGTACCTTAAATTTTTTAAGTTCTGAGCAAACTGTTGGCGCTATATAAATCCTGTATAATAATAATAATACATGGACGGGGGTAGAGATTGGGCCTTATAACTGTCATGAAACACTTTGGAGCTTCTGTGCTAAATCACCAGCATGCAAGTTATACCAATCCCAGGACAAACCATCTGGCCTTGGCGTTTTGTTTGAGGGAAATGATAGGATGGCCGCTTCTATTTCCAAAACCAAGATTTCCTTGTCAAGGTCAAGAGCATCGGTGGCAGATAAAGTCATCAAGGAGAGATTTTGTAAATTAGTCATCAGGGATGAGACCTCAGGGGGAGGGGGGGCTGGGAATGGGAGTATATAAAGTTTGAAAGAACTGCTGAAATTCTTGGAGAATAGCAGATGGAGTAGTGAGACGATCCCTAGATTCTGAGGTCAGCTCAGAGACAATTGTCATCTGTCTCGAGTCTGCATCGAGATTGGCTAATAATCTGCCATTTTTGTCGCCGGACTTGAACAGCTTACCTGCTTGTATGGCAGCATCAGTGTTAGTAAGGGATGTGAGATGGAGTCCTAATTCTCTGCTGGTATGGGCCAGCAGAGAGTAGTTATCTCTGGTAGGAGAATGTGCAAAAGCTAAAGCAGTCTTAGACTCCTCCTGTTCCAATCTCATGACTTGTGTGGAAAATTCCACCTTCGCTGACTTGATGGCTGAGATGTATTGACCTCCCGCAGTGGGAATGGTCTGAAATGCCCGAGGGCAAGTAAGAAACAGCTGGCACACAGCTCAGCAGTGGCCTGGAGCTAAACGCTAGATCTATTCTGGATCCAGAGAAATGGGAGAAAAAACAATATCATGGATGCCAAAATCTCCACAACTCAGTAAGATCAAACGTCTGGGCCTAAGCTACCAAGTCCACATTTGGAGTTCTTTAAGGATTAGAGGAGTCCAGGAAGGTATGTAAAACGCAGTTAAAATCTCCAGCCCAAATAACCTGAGAAACCTTCAAGGGTGCCAATTTTTCCTAGATTGTGTATAAAATACCAGGAGAAAAGGGTGCTGGAATGTAGACATCAATGTATATTTCACATTACCCAGTTCCAGGACCAAGATAATATATCTTCCTCCCGGATCAGTACATACATGCAATACCTGATATGTGAGAGACTTATTCAAAAGTATGGCTACTCCCCTGGCGTAACAAGAAAAAGTAGAGTAAAAAGCTTGTGGTACCCAAACTCGTTTAATAGAGAGGATCTTGTTCTCCAATAAATGGGTCTCTTGTAAAAAAAAAAAAAGGTTATGTGCATTAAGGAATTTGAACATAGGAGATCTCTTGAATTTATTATTCAGTCCTCAAATGTTCTAAGATACCAATTTGGTCACCATATTGAGGGGAAAGTTGAAAATTATACCAGTGGGTAGACATTTGCAAGGGGGGTTGCCACAACTTCAACAATAGAAGCACTGCGGATGAATCAAGAGAGAAATACCTAATAAGATTTATAAAATGTGAGATAGGAGACAGGTGGCTGCCACAGTTTAAAAACAAAAACATATTAACAATCTACTGACAAGCAACCCCACCAACTAGGCCAGTCAGTTTCATACCCTAAACAAAAAAAACAAATGTCCTTCTTATCTGCAGGGATCCAAGAATTGCTAGGTGAATCAAGATTTCATTGTTTTTTTGTATTTTTAAATTATTTTGAATACTAAAAACCTGAATAAAAATAATTTTAGTCATATAGTTTGCATATTAAGTTTTCCAGCTAACAGGAGGCTTCTTTTCACATTTTACCAGGCTAATGTTGAGCTAAAAGAAAAAAAAAAACACCTGTTGACAGAAATGAACAGCTCAAGCTCAATTTACATGCAAAATTGAAATAATCAGAAGATGGACTCATCTCCGTTCCCTCCCCCCTTTGCTTCACATGGCTCTGTGCAGATTAATAAACAACTACTGCTATGTTATAGAATACTATAGTATACAATAGTATAGGGTATTATATTTTTATTTGTAAAATAAGAATGTTATATTAAATAAAAAATAAAAAAAAAATGTAAAACCTACTAAATGTAACATAAAACTTCACTATTGGCCATTATAATTTCTTTTTAGACTATCACGCATACAATAGTACACGTTGTTTTCTATATGTAAACAGCAGAACAGTGGTGCACTATTTATGCATTCTTATAGCTCCAAGACAGGGCACACAGTTACTAGTACTGTAATATGTACTTTATTACAGTGCATACAACAGGAAAAGCACATATCTATATGTAAATAAAAATAAGGAAATATCTATATTTTTTTCAATGTAAGAATTACACAGCAACCCAAGAATTGCCAAAACAAGTAAATATAGGCTTGAATCCTGTACCTACCTTATATTCTTCTAACATCTAGACTTCCACAGGTATTATTAAACTGCTTCTGAACAATAGACAAATGGATCACATTTTCTTGTGAAAAATTAACCAGTGATGACCTTGCATCAACATTACTGTTTTCAGCAGTTTTTCAAGAAAAGATTTACAATCCTCCTTTGAACTAGAACAAAGCTCAAAGGTTCTTCTATAGAATGCATAAGATTCCATAAGATCAAATGCCATCTTGTAACACAGCTTGCTTAAAGCAAAATTATATAGCTTCTATATACATAAATATTGAATATATATATTATAGTATAATATCTATTATATAATAGATATCGGGGGTGATTTACTGATTTTCGCTTGCACATAATTGGATAATGGAAGGCAGCAGTGCTTTGTCTCATTCACTAGGCAAAGGGAAAATTCCTTGGCAAAGTGAATGGCCTATTTGTCTTTATTAATCAGCTCCCTTGTCTTCTGAAATATTTAGCATTATTTTTTTTTATTATTCCTATTATTTTATAATGTTTCTTCCTATTTATATTGTTATATAAGTGTTTATTCTGTGTATTTGGCATTTGAAGTAATTTGTATTGTTATCTGTGAAGATTATTATTCCTTACTTTTTCTGTAAAGGTAGTTTTAGTTAATCTTATTCAACTGGTCTTGTTCTGTAATTTTGAAGATATTTCATTGCTTTTCTATGCAGTACTTTCAGTTCTAATGAGTGTCAGGAATATACCCACCCACTATTAACACATGTCCCAGACATGGCACCATAGAATTGGATGTAATTAGAACAGGGATATGGATTATGTAATTAGTATCGGGTGGTTTCATAAATTTTCACATCATCCATCATGTTCTTGGAAAAACCACATTTGCTTCAACACATGGTAGTTGTATTAAAGTGATACTAAATCCAGGACCCTGCATTCACTATATCTGGTATCAAACACACAACATGGAAATGCAATTATTTTTGTAAATATAAACAGCTACAGTATCTCACAAGTGAGTACACCCCTCACATTTTTGTAAATATTTTATTATATCTTTTCATTTGACAACACTGAAGAAATGATACTTTGCTACAATGTAAAGTAGTAAGTGTACAGCTTGTATAAC